AAAAAAAAAATATATATATATATATACAGTAAAGGAGCCATGGACATACAATGGGGAAATGACAGCCTCTTGAACAACTGGTATTGGCAAAACTAGACGGCGACATGCAAGAAAATGAAACTGGATTATTGTTTAACCCCATACACAAAAGTAAACTCAAAATGGATCAAAGACCTGAATGTAAGTCATGAAACCAAAAAACTCTGAGAAGAAAACATAAGCAAAAATCTCTTGAATATAAACATGAGCAACTTTTTCCTGAATGCATCTCCTCGGGCAAGGGAAACAAAAGCAAGAATGAACTAATGGGAGTATATGAAGCTAAAAAGCTTCTGTGCAGCAAAGGACACCATTAGCAGAACAAAAAGGCATCCTACAGTATGGGAGAATATATTTGTAAATGGCATATCCAACAAGGGGTTAACATCCAAAATATATAAAGAACCCACATGCCTCAACACCCAAAAAGCAAATAACCCTATTAAAAAGTGGGCAGAGGATATGAACAGGAATTTCTCCAAACAAGAAATTCAGATGGTCAACAGGCACATGAAAAGATGCTCCACATCGCTAATTATTAGAGAAATGCAAATTAAAGCCACAATGAGATATCACCTCACACCAGTTAGGATGGCCAACATAGAAAACACTAGGAACAACAAATGCTAGCAATAATGCAGAGATAGGGGAACCCTCCTGCACTGCTGGTGGGAATGTAAACTAGTTCAACCACTGTGGAAAGCAATACAGTTTAGGTTCCTCAAAAAACTAAAAATAGAGATACCATTTGACCCAGGAATTCCACTCCTAGGAATTTACCCAAAGAGAACAACTTCTCAGATTCAAAAAGGCATATGCACCCCTATGTTTATTGCAGCACTATTTACAATAGCCAAGATATGGAAGCAACCTAAGTGTCCATCACTAGATAAATGCATAAAGAAGATATGGTACATATACACAATGGAATACTCTTCAGCCATAAGAAAGAAACAAATCCTACCATTTGCAACAACATGGATGGAGCTAGACAGTATTATGCTCACTGAATAAGTCAGGCAGAGAAAGACAAATACCAAATGATTTCCCTCATTTGCGGAGTATAACAACGAAGCAAAACTGACAGAACAAACTAGCAGCAGACTCAGACTCCAAGAAGGGACCAGTGATTACCAAAGGGGAGGGGTGGGAGTGGGTGGGTGCGGAGGGAGGGAGGGAGAAGGGGATTGTGGGGTATCATGATTCGTTCACATGATGTGTGTGGGGTCACAGAGAAGACAGTGTAGCTCAGAGAAGACAAATAGGGTCTCTGTGGCATCTTACTACACTGATAGATAGTGACTGCAATGGGGTATGGGGGGGCTTGATAATAAGGGTGAATATAGTAACCACACTGTTTTTCTTGTGAAACCTTCATAAGAGTGTATATCAATGATCCCCCAAAAAGAACAAAACTCTCCAAAATCACCAAAAATCTATTTGAAATGATACAAAACAGAAGATGGAGTTAAATTTCAAGGTTCTTAAGAGTCAGTGATGAGCAATAGTAAAAGAAATGATGGAAAAAGTAATTCTGTGGATACTCAAATAGACAGTTCTGTTAATGGTCAAAAAGGGGAGCCAAACTCTAAAATTCACTACCCTATCTCCTCTCAACACCATGTTATTATGCTGAAGCAGCCTCGCAGAGGATCGAAGTCCACGGGGAAGCTGACTCAGGTAAATGAATCCACTCCTCCCTCCCTCCCTCCCTCCCACCAGGAGCACCGAGCACCTGTCCAACGCCAGGCTCTCAGGGGCCAGAGCGCAGGAGCAGCAGCTGAGCGCCTGCCCTCAGGGAGCTTTCACTCTCAGCTCCATCCACTTCCCAGCAGCGTCACCATACACAGAGGACCTCAACTTAAGTTGTCCTCCCGGATGTTACACTGGGATACTCTCATAAAATTCGTGCTGGTGTGCAACTTCTATTCTCAATTCAAAATGAATAAGGCAGAAGTCTACAGTTCTTTTAAGAGCTACTTAGAAAAGAAGACAAAAGACTTTATAAATAACATGAAATTCAGAATCCCAGAATGTCGTCAGGCGGACACTTTGAGTAGTCTAATCTCTTAAAAGAGACATTTCCATATATATGGAAAATTGTGCATTAAAATAAGAATTCAAGAAGTATTATATGTTGCTATTGAATCTGTGTTAACTCCTCTTTGTTAATAAATTCAACAGGTGATAATGATTACCTGTTCATATGCCCAGAACTTAACAGCTGTCTCAGGAGCAATTTTAATGACATTTGTACCATTTCCTCTCCAAAGGGAGCGGATACCTCCTTCTTTCACCATCTGTCGAAAGCCATTATATATGTTCATTTTTCCTGATTTTGAACCATGGACCTAAAAATAAAAGCAAAATGATATAAAATACTGGTAGAATGTTCTTGTTCCTATTTCTAAAGTAACCATATGAACTCTACCTTCCTCAATACTATCTGTAACTGCAAGATGTATTTGAAAATAGAATATAGAAGGTTGAGAAAATATATAATAATGGGGAGGATTATTACTACCATTTTACAGGGCTGACTCTGAATCTAAACATAAGAAAAACTGATATCCAGTGTGGGAAAGCAGAGAGAGAACACATAATCAAAATTAAAATTAAGATGAACATTCATAAGACAACATGAGCCAAATTGTACATTAAGCTATAGAACATCCTTTGGAATGTGAACAGGTTCAGTTTAAGAAAAATTTTTAAAGGTACTGCAGGTACTATATTATCCCTCCAAGAAGTAATACCTACATGAAATATAAATGGGTCTGGAAACAGCTGGGTGGTATGAATATCAAAGCCACAGATACCGGGATGCACATGGCCTCACACAAGAAGCAAAAACTGTACCAGCTATGGCTGATCTCAAGACCACTCCAGGCAATAAATTCAGAGGAAAATGTGTCACCTCCTGAGCACTGATGAATTATTACTTGGCTCATACTACAGATGTGATAGCTATTAAACTATGAGACCTTATGATTTACTTTATATACAAACTGCTTAAATCTAATTAAAAATAATTAAGGAAGTCAGAAATTCTTCTGATTGTTTCAACTTACACAAAATGAGTTACTACTAAAAAAAAAAAAGAAAAAAGATGGGAGAGGCTGAAGACTAAAGGTCATCCAGAATTGTTAAACTATCTCCTATGTCGATTCCCTGATCAAGTCACAGTAAAAACTATGGACACCAAAGGTCCAGGTGAGCTTCTTTGGTAGGTCTGCAACACTGAGCATACTGTCACACATCAATGCCAGGAAAGTAACACATCATGGAGAGAGGACAACAGAAACTATGTATTTGTTACTTCTCCAGACCTGGCCCTATGCACTTCTTCCTTGGCAGATTCTAATCTGTATCTTTTCCCTGTAATAAACCATAAACATGAGTGTAAAATCTTCTAGTGATTCTGTGAGTCCCATTAAATTACTGAACCTAAAGGTAGTTTTGGGAACCCCCTTGAACTTACAGGAACTAATATGTACAGATAACCATTTTATTTTAAATAAATTTTACATTGAAATATGACAAAGGAAAAGATGAATGCTTATTCAAGCTCCTTCAAAGTCAACTTAGTGTTGTTTCTAAAGAAACACACCACACCAATTCCTCCTCCTTTTTCTTTAAAGCATTATCTTTACCCCTAGATATACACTGAGCCTCAGATACAGTCTGAACGGATGCTAATTTAAAATATTATCAGACATCATTTTGTACAGAAATCTAAGGACAAATATAAAACATGTTGATCACAGGTATAACCACACAATTTTCAAAATATTTTTTAAGCAACCAGTATATTCCAATAGGGTGTTCCAGTGTATCTGGCATTTTCACATACCTTACATCATTTCATTCTACTGTCCTTGTTATATTCTTATTCCCACTCCAGAAGAAAGGAAAATGAGACCGCAGCATTTATGCAGTATAAGAACCATGAGCTAATTTAAGGATAATATGAGGATAAAATTCTCACCTCACTGTGTTACTGTGAGTATTAAACAGGTTGCCAGAATGAGCACCAAATAAACTTTAAATTCCTTTTCAATCTGACCAGCCAAAGCTACACTTTAGTAAATAGTAAAATCAGTATTGAAATCCAGGTCTTTTTCTGTTAACCTCGCTTTAGAATAATTTTAAAAATTACATCCTGGTTCCAAGATTCTAGATTTCAGAAATATTCTACTTTTGCAAAAGTACATAAAAATAGAAGGAATATATAAATAATTTGAGGAGAACCCTACAATAATGGCTGGAGACCTTTTTCTAATTAAACATTTTTCAATTAAACACAGACCACCAAACATTCAAAGTTTATCACACACATACCAACAATTTAAGATTTGGTAAAACACTGAAATACTTACATGGACTGAATTTAGGGTAATACCAATAAAGTAGAGACTTTTTTAAAGGTATGAAAGACCATTACTGAGAAGTTAAAAAAATTTTTTTTCAAAGCATCGTATTTCCCATTGTTTTAAAATATTTAGGACAAACTTAGATACAAGCTCATGCAGTTCACCTGCATCATGACTTTGAGGCGGTCCAAAGGGGCGGTACTGGTTCGAGAGACGGCTCCCGCGATGCCTCCAGCCAAAAGCTGCCGCCACCACTGTCCGGATTTCTTTTCATCTTCTGTGAATTCATCCGGAATTGTTAAACTATCTCCAATGTCAATTCCCTGTAAAAATAGAAAGAAGATTGCCATGATCCTTCAATTAAAAATAGATCATTCCAGAAGGTTGGTTTGTTTTGGAAAGAATCATGTGTTATTTTGGAGTTAACATATTATTTTATAGTATATTCCTTAGAAAGTATACTGAACCAACCTGAGCATATAAATTCACTCATTTATACTAAATGAAGTGCAATATCAGTTCATAAGACAGGCTAATTAACAGTAATTACAAATTTATAAAGCCAGCAACTACAACTTTCTTTCTTAATAGATTTAGAGCAACTTTTCTCCTCTTGGTCTAAGTCAAGTGAAAGGGAGGCATGTTGTCAGATGTAGTGAATCCTTATTAGCTACAAAAAGAAATGAGTTCATCAATTCCTGAAAGATACTCAAAATTATACCATAATATATGCTTTTTTTATCATTAATCTACACTTACATGATGAATATTATGTTTACTAGGCTCTCCCCTATACCAGGTCCCCCCTATAAACACCTTTACAGTCACTGTCCATCAGCATAGCACAGTGTTGTAGAATCACTACTTATCTTCTCTGTGTTGTACAGCCCTCCCCTTTCTCCCACCCCCCAATGCATGCTAATCTTAATACCCCCCTTCCTCTCCCCCCCCCCTTATTCCTCCCTACCCACCCATCCTCCCCAGTCCCTTTCCCTTTGGTACCTTTTAGTCCATTCTTGAGTTCTGTGATTCTGCTGCTGCTTTGTTCCTTCAGTTTTTCCTTTGATCTTATACTCCACAGATGAGTGACATCATTTGGTATTTCTCTTTCTCCGCTTGGCTTATTTCACTGAGCATAATACTCTCCAGCTCCATCCATGTTGCTGCAAATGGTTGGATTTTTCCACTTCTTATGGCTGAGTAGTATTCCATTGTGTATATGTACCACATCTTCTTTATCCATTCATCTACAGATGGACATTTAGGTTGCTTCCAATTCTTGGCTATTGTAAATAGTGCTGCGATAAACATAGGAGTGCATCTGTCTTTCTCAAACTTGATTGCTGCGTTCTTAGGGTAAATTCCTAGGAGTGGAATTCCTGGGTCAAATGGTAGGTCTGTTTTGAGCATTTTGATGCACCTCCATACTGCTTTCCACAATGGTTGAACTAATTTACATTCCCACCAGCAGTGTAGGAGGGTTCCCCTTTCTCCACAGCCTCGCCAACATTTGTTGTTGTTTGTCTTTTGGATGGCAGCTATCCTTACTGGTGTGAGGTGATACCTCATTGTAGTTTTAATTTGCATTTCTCTGATAATTAGCGATGTGGAGCATCTTTTCATGTGTCTCTTGGCCATCTGTATTTCTTTTTTGGAGAACTGTCTGTTCAGTTCCTCTGCCCATTTTTTAATTGGGTTATTTGTTTTTTGTTTGTTGAGGCGTGTGAGCTCTTTATATATTCTGGACGTCAAGCCTTTATCAGATCTGTCATTTTCAAATATATTCTCCCATACTGTAGGGTTCCTTTTTGTTCTATTGATGGTGTCTTTCGCTGTACAGAAGCTTTTCAGCTTAATGTAGTCCCACTTGCTCATTTTTGCTGTTGTTTTCCTTGCCCGGGGAGATATGTTCAAGAAGAGATCACTCATGTTTATGTCTAAGAGGTTTTTGCCTATGTTTTTTTCCAAGAGTTTAATGGTTTCATGACTTACATTCAGGTCTTTGATCCATTTTGAGTTTACCTTTGTATATGGGGTTAGACAATGGTCCAGTTTCATTCTCCTACATGTAGCTGTCCAGTTTTGCCAGCACCATCTGTTGAAGAGACTGTCATTTTGCCATTGTATGTCCATGGCTCCTTTATCAAATATTAATTGACCATATATGTTTGGGTTAATTTCTGGGGTCTCTAATCTGTTCCACTGGTCTGTGGCTCTGTTCTTGTGCCAGTACCAAATTGTCTTGATTACTATGGCTTTGTAGTAGAGCTTGAAGTTGGGGAGTGAGATCCCCCCTACTTTATTCTTCTTTTTCAGGATTGCTTTGGCTATTCGGGGTCTTTGGTGTTTCCATATGAATTTTTGAATTATTTGTTCCAATTCATTGAAGAATGTTGCTGGTAATTTGAGAGGGATTGCATCAAATTTGTATATTGCTTTCGGCAGGATGGCCATTTTGACGATATTAATTCTTCCTAGCCATGAGCATGGGATGAGTTTCCATTTATTAGTGTCCCCTTTAATTTCTCTTAAGAGTGACTTGTAGTTTTCAGAGTATAAGTCTTTCACTTCCTTGGTTAGGTTTATTCCTAGGTATTTTATTCTTTTTGATGCAATGGTGAATGGAATTGTTTTCCTGATTTCTCTTTCTATTGATTCGTTGTTAGTGTATAGGAAAGCTACAGATTTCTGTGTGTTAATTTTGTATCCTGCAACTTTGCTGTATTCCGATATCAGTTCTAGTAGTTTTGGAGTGGAGTCTTTAGGGTTTTTTATGTACAGTATCATATCATCTGCAAATAGTGACAGTTTAACTTCTTCTTTACCAATCTGGATTCCTTGTATTTCTTTGTTTTGTCTGATTGCCGTGGCTAGGACCTCCAGTACTATGTTAAATAACAGTGGGGAGAGTGGGCATCCCTGTCTGGTTCCCGATCTCAGAGGAAATGCTTTCAGCTTCTCGCTGTTCAGTATAATGCTGGCTGTGGGTTTATCATATATGGCCTTTATTATGTTGAGGTACTTGCCCTCTATTCCCATTTTGCTGAGAGTTTTTATCATGAATGGATGTTGAATTTTGTCAAATGCTTTTTCAGCATCTATGGAGATGATCATGTGGTTTTTGTCTTTCTTTTTGTTGATGTGGTGGATGATGTTGATGGATTTTCGAATGTTGTACCATCCTTGCATCCCTGGGATGAACCCCACTTGGTCATGGTGTATGATCCTTTTGATATACTGTTGAATTCTGTTTGCTAATATTTTATTGAGTATTTTTGCATCTACATTCATCAGGGATATTGGTCTGTAATTTTCTTTTTTGGTGGGGTCTTTGCCTGGTTTTGGTATTAGGGTGATGTTGGCTTCATAGAATGAGTTTGGGAGTATTCCCTCTTCTTCTATTTTGTGGAACACTTTAAGGAGAATGGGTATTATGTCTTCTCTGTGTGTCTGATAAAATTCCGAGGTAAATCCGTCCGGCCCCGGGGTTTTGTTCTTGGGTAGTTTTTTGATTACTGTTTCAATTTCTTTGCTTGTAATTGGTTTGTTTAACTTTTGTGTTTCTTCCTTGGTCAGTCTTGGGAGGTTGTATTTTTCTAGGAAGTTGTCCATTTCTTCTAGGTTTTCCAGCTTGTTGGCATATAGGTTTTCATAGTAGTCTTTAATAATTCTTTGTATTTCTGTGGAGTCTGTCGTGATTTTTCCATTCTCATTTCTGATTATGTTGATTTGTGTTGACTCTCTTTTTCTCTTAATAAGTTGGGCTAGAGGCTTATCTATTTTGTTTATTTTCTCAAAGAACCAGCTCTTGGTTTCGTTGATTTTTGCTATTGTTTTATTCTTCTCAATTTTGTTTATTTCTTCTCTGATCTTTATTATGTCCCTCCTTCTGCTGACTTTAGGCCTCATTTGTTCTTCTTTTTCCAGTTTTAATAATTGTGATGTTAGACTATTCATTTGGGATTGTTCTTCCTTCTTCAAGTGTGCCTGGATTGCTATATACTTTCCTCTTAAGACTGCTTTCGCTGCATCCCACAGAAGTTGGGGCTTAGTGTTGTTGTTGTCATTTGTTTCTATATATTCCTTGATCTCTATTTTGATTTGTTCATTGATCCATTGATTATTTAGTAGCATGTTGTTAAGCCTCCATGTGTTTGTGAGCCTTTTTGTTTTCTTTGTAGAATTTATTTCTACTTTCATACCTTTGTGGTCTGAAAAATTGGTTGGTAGAATTTCAATATTGTGGAATTTACTGAGGCTCTTTTTGTGAGCTAGTATGTGGTCTATTCTGGAGAATGTTCCATGTGCACTTGAGAAGAATGTATATCCTGTTGCTTTTGGATGTAAAGTTCTATAGATGTCTATTAGGTCCATCTGTTCTAGTGTGTTGTTCAGTGCCTGTGTGTCTTTACTTATTTTCTGCCCGGTGGATCTATCCTTTGGGGTGAGTGGTGTGTTGAAGTCTCCTACAATGAATGCATTGCAGTCTATTTCCCTCTTTAGTTCTGTTAGTATTTGCTTCACATATGCTGGTGCTCCTGTATTGGGTGCATATATATTTAGAATGGTTATATCCTCTTGTTGGACTGAGCCCTTTATCATTATGTAGTGGCCTTCTTTATCTCTTGTTACTTTCTTTGTTTTGAAGTCTATTTTGTCTGATATTAGTACTGCAACCCCTGCTTTCTTCTCACTGTTGTTTGCCTGAAATATGTTTTTCCATCCCTTGACTTTTAGTCTATGCTTATCTTTGGGTTTAAGGTGAGTTTCTTGTAAGCAGCATATAGATGGGTCTTGCTTTTTTATCCATTCTATTACTCTGTGTCTTTTGATTGGTGCATTAAGTCCATTTACATTTAGGGTGACTATTGAGAGATATGTACTTATTGCCATTGCAGGCTTTAGATTCGTGGTTACCAAAGGTTCAAGGTTAGCTTCTTTAGTATCTTACTGCCTAACTTAGCTCGCTTATTGAGCTGTTATATACACTGTCTGGAGATTCTTTTCTTCTCTCCCTTCTTATTCCTCCTCCTCCATTCTTCATATGTTGTGTGTTTTGTTCTGTGCTCTTTTTAGGGGTGCTCCCATCTAGAGCAGTCCCTGTAGGATGCCCTGTAGAGGTGGTTTGTGGGAAGCAAATTCCCTCAGCTTTTGCTTGTCTGGGAATTGTTTAATCCCACCATCATATTTAAATGATAGTCGTGCTGGATACAGTATCCTTGGTTCAAGGCCCTTCTGTTTCATTGCATTAAATATATCATGCCATTCTCTTCTGGCCTGTAGGGTTTCTGTCGAGAAGTCTGATGTTAGCCTGATGGGTTTTCCTTTATAGGTGACCTTTTTCTCTCTAGCTGCCTTTAAAACTCTTTCCTTGTCCTTGATCCTTGCCATTTTAATTATTATGTGTCTTGGTGTTGTCTTCCTTGGATCCTTTCCGTTGGGGGTTCTGTGTATTTCCGTGGTCTGTTCGATTATTTCCTCCCCCAGTTTGGGGAAGTTTTCAGCAATTATTTCTTCAAAGAGACTTTCTATCCCTTTTCCTCTCTCTTCTTCTTCTGGTACCCCTATAATACAGATATTGTTCCTTTTGTATTGGTCACATAGTTCTCTTAGTATTGTTTCATTCCTGGAGATCCTTTTATCTCTCTCTATGTCAGCTTCATTACGTTCCTGTTCTCTGATTTCTATTCCTTCAATGGCCTTTTGCATCTTGTCCATTCTGCTTATAAATCCTTCCAGGGTTTGTTTCACTTCTGTGATCTCCTTCCTGACATCTGTGATCTCCCTCCGGACTTAATCCCATTGCTCTTGCATTTTTCTCTGCATCTTTGTCAGCATATTCATGATTTTTATTTTGAATTCTTTTTCAGGTAGACTGGTTAGGTCTGTCTCCTTCTCAGGTGTTGTCTCTGTGATCTTTGTCTGCCTGTAGTTTTGCCTTTTCATGGTGGTAAAGATAGTTTGCAGAGCTGGTACGAGTGACAGCTGGAAGAGCTTTCCTTCTTGTTGGTTTGTGGCCTTCCTTTCCCCCTTCATGAGGCGCTGGGTTCTCGCAGGTGTGGATGTGGTCTGGATGTTTCCCTGTGTCTTCTCGTCTCTATTTTAGGAAGAGTTGTCTTTGTTATATTTTCATAGATAAATGTGGTTTTGGGAGGAGATTTCTGCTGCTCTACTCACGCCACCATCTTGGCTCCCCCTTCAATATATGCTTTAAATGTGTAAATAAAAGTGAAATAAAACAATGTATGTGAATATCCCTAAACTCCTTCCTATACAGACTGTGTATAAATATTTTTATAAATTTGACTTGTCATTTAAAACATGAGTAGATTCTATCTAAAATTAGGTAACAGGGAGGTATTGTTTAAAATGATCCATCCTCTAATCTATTCTAAACATTCCTATAGATTACAAATATTGCTTGAGAGAAATGAAGTTTAGTATAGTAACATTTGTATAATTTATAATCTAAATGATTCTGGTATAAAAGATTATATAAGAATGTAAGTACAAGAAATTATAATAAATAACATTCTCTTTCTTAATTTTACTATCAATAAAACACATACACAGTTGTAGCCTCAACTATCTCCAAATATACAGTAAGGATTTGATTATGTAAATATAACTTCACATAAGTAAAAAATGTATCAGGACAACTGAATTACTAATAGGTTTTATTTTATACTCACAGTTGAAAAGGCATTGAACAACAATAACTTTACAATGGTCTATGTAAGTTTAGGCATTATTACTAGTGGCAATGTGAACTCTGGCTTCATTTGTGCACATAAAATTTACTGAAATCCATGACTAAGCATAAAAGACAAGCCCATTAACAACTCCTTCAAAGAGTCATTGTGGGTTTCAAAAGTGGATTGTTCAATAAACTGAACTTTATTTACACCAGTATATTTTAACAGAGTATTAATGAAATTCATTAAAAGGTGACCTTTTTGAGGACTACAGACAGACGAGTGTGAAATGCTAAGTGGATTGAGCCAAAGACTTTTTAAATCTTTAATGATCATTATTTTAAGAAACTTATGCCAGAGATAAATCTAGTCAGGTGACTAAACAAGGAAAAAGTTTCAGAAGGAGGCTCTGGCCATTATCAATGGCTAAGGAAACAGATCCTCAGCAAGCATGAAGTGCTGACATAATTGAGGCAATATAGTATCTATAAGAAGTCACTTCCCTATGGTAGAATACCTAAATGCCAATAAAAACTGGACAGTGTATTTTCATAAGATTTTGCAGGCAATACCTCTTTCAAGTTTTGAGAATGGAAAAAGTAAGTTCTCAAACATCTGCAATGTTTATGCATCTTGGAGTTTCTTAAGATACTCTGACTATACACCTAACAGGATAAGCAGAACTTGAAAAGTTAAGGAGCTGGTGGAACTTGAGCACCGTGGCCTGTGTTACAGAATGCTCTCAGGTAATTGCCATGGCTGACAGCTCCAAATAGGCATGAATTAATGTAGATAGTGTACTTACCGTAGAATGCTTCCAGAAACGGACAATCTCCTCAATGTCTGTAACAGGATTCAATAAGAAATAGTCCCTCCATTCATTCCAGTCTACTGTCATTGTCCCATCAGCATCAATGCTGAAAAAATAAAAGAAGCTGATTAATGAACATAACAAAACTTATAAATAAAACTAACACTATTGGCCATTTTTCAGAATAGCAGTTTCTTTTCCAACTCAATATTCTTACTAAGTTTAAAAAATCCCAATTCACAATAATAGGTTATTGGAAATGGCAGCAAGCATTTGATGGTCCGTTAGATAATTTTAATCATTTAGATGAAAACAGACACTGAAACTACAGCAAAATCTCACTAAAGACTATTTTTGGCACTCTGCCAAATTCTAAGTTAATAACCTATCAAATACTAAAGCTAGAAGGTAGAGATTGGGAGGTAATAATAAATGGATCTATGCTAGTTTTTTCTTGCACTGGTTCAGGAAGAAATTTCTTAATGTTCTGTTGTAACATTTGGGTGTGATTTTTGGAATATACCCAAAATACGCTATCAGTTTCCTACTCCAATTTCCTCTAAGCTAAGAAAATTAGCAGTGACTGTTAAAAAGTAAGAAAGAAAGAAAAGTCAAACTTAGTAACAGGGACTTTTGAATCTTCAAAAATCCTGGTACCTCATCTTCAACATTTAAAATGAGTAATATTATATAGCCTTAGATATTTTTCATTAACTTTTTGCTTGTTTTACAAGTTTCTTGGCAGTAATGCCATTTATATCTGTTTTTTCCTAAGACCAAGTCTGACCTGTGCCACGATTTGGGCCATTTTGTTCCATTTTGTTCACTACTGTATTCCAAGCACCTAAAGTGGTTGGTGCAAAGAAGGTGCTCATTTATTTGTTGAATTAATGCATATATCTGAAAAAAGTTTTGGACTGTACTCTAAATTGATTATTTATTCTATACTTTGTGTGAAAATCACACATAAAGATGGCAGTCAAGTCAAATTCAATTTTCAGACAATTATTGTCATGTTTTCTTAAAAAAGGGCCACTTTTAATTTTGATCTGAGTATACAAAAATCACAAACTTCCATTTGTCCCAGTACACAAGTATTAACATTTCATATTTGCATGACAGTCCCTGATACTACTTATAACACTATTTTGGATTGCAGTATTTATAGCTCTATTTTTATCACTATTTTCTGTTTTAATGCATTCGTTTATGGTTTGACCCTACCCCCTCCCACCTCCCACACATTCACACATGTATGGGCATATTCCACAAGGCAAGGTTTTTTGTTGATTTTGTTTACTGACATGACCAAAGTGTCTGGAACAGTGCCTGGCACGGAGTAAATAATAATGAATAAATGAATTTCAAATTCTGTAGCTTACAGCCACAAAACACTTAGTATTGGCGAAGTTCTTAAATAAGATAGTCTCACAATGGACTTAAATTGCCTTTCTCTTCAAATTACTAACGAGGTTGAACATCTCCAGTACCATATTCATTTGCTATTCATGTTTCCCCATGTGTGAAATGCCTGTTCATGTCTTTTGCCCATTTGTCTAATGGGTTGTGTGGCTTAGTTATGTACAGTTCTTTATATAGCAGATTCCAATCCTTCAGGTTATAAATTAGCAAATAACCTTCTCTTTGTCTTTTCACTTTGTTTATGGTTTCCATGAATAGATGCTCTTCATTTCAATAAAGCTGAAGTTATCAATCTTTTCATTTATGGCTCCTGACTTCCATGTTTTTCTTAAACTGTTCCAAGATGCGGTGACAGCCATAATCTGGAAGTGCGAGTAGTTTTGTTCTGAGCCTAATAATGAACACCCAGAAGGACGTTCAGCCCCCAAAGCAGCAGCCAATGATATATATATAA